TTGCAATGATCATTTGGAATGATCATTTGCAATGATCATTCGGAGCGCTTGAGATGATCGGTTGGAATGATCATTTGAAATGATCATTCGGAGTGACCATGTGAAGCGATCATGTGAGATGATCGTTTGTGATTATGAAAATATCTAATCACAACACTATATATGATTTTTGCGTAGTTCCACAAGCAAAGAAAAAAATTTTATATATACAATATCTGATTTGCTAATTACCCCAAAAATCTGATCTTATCGATCTGTGCGATGCTAGAATTACATTACAGAAAATTATTCACTGCGATAATGCTACTCAACTTGCCAGAGGTAGTCGCATCGGGGTTATCTCTCATACAATTATATATAAAAAAATGCTTATCGTGACTACATTGCACCTATATTGCACCTTCATCGCACCATATCTCGAGATTTGCTTATCTCGGAATTCATTATAACGAAACTAGAATGGGAAATGAAATTCATGGAGAAATTGGATTACACAAAAAATGTGTCTTAATATACGCAGATTGAACGATCTGATTTTCTATATGTTTCACCGGTACTTAAATCATAATAATATCCTTCATCATCGTCAGAGAAACTACAATATTCTTCATCATCATCTTCCTCTTCGTTGTTATCGTAGAATTTGTCATCATTTTTATTATCCCTAGTTGCGTTAGCATCCTCACTTTGGGAGTCATCATCAAAGAAATTCTCAACTGGAAGCTGATTCACGTCAATATCGCCATTATTATTAGTATCTCCATCGTAGGATTTCTCATCATCAGATGATTCCAAGTTAGAATCTGTTACTAGAGGTAACTTTTCTGAAGATATCCCATAATCTATAACCTCTTGAATTTGCTCATCAGTAAGTTCTGAAATAGAAGTTGCACTATATGATTTGATATATTTGATTTTATCATGGCCCACTTTTTCGAAAAATTTATAGACTTTCTCAGCTCTCTGAGTTTTCTTGCGCAAACTATCTCGTGATATGTCTCGAAGCTGTAAACCTAATTCTTGGGATCTTTGTTTGTGAAGTAAATTAAGCTGTTCTGTAATGGAATCATACAGTAAGCCTCTTGCTTTCTTTTCACCAATTTTACCTCCGCTATTTTCTATAATCTCGTTGAGCTGAATTCTGAAATCCTTCGCATAGAGGGACCAGCATAAAATTTCCTTCTGATTAGCTCGATTCACTCTATCTTCAGCATCAAAAGCTTTATCACATAACTGAGCTAGATGTTGTGAGGCCTCATCAATGCTAGAATTGTCACCAGAAGTAACTTTTCTGGGACATAATGTCTCAGAAATTTCAGTTGCATGATATTGTTCTATTGATGGCTCTTGTGAAGACAACTCAGGGGTAAATAATTCTCACTTAAGCTTGTCTAGACTTTTCTTACACTTTGAATTCACTTCGCTATATATTTTGCCTTTTGGAGGTAATTTACTACCATCTGAATTAGCCGATGCTTCGGATGATGTGCTATTGCGTGACTGAGCATCCGAGTTGAGGTCTTGAGGTCTTTCCTCTTCAGAAAGTGTTGTAAGTGATTCTTGATCCTGAAGTTTCTTTTTTTTAATATTCTGAATAATCTCTTTTCTAACTGTTTCCCTATATTTTGAATTCAGGAATACATTTTCTTCCTTCTCTTCCAATGATATGATTTCTGCGGGAATTACTGGATTCTGACATATATCAGAATTGTCGGAGACAGTCACAGAGTGGCTATATGTGTTAGACTCCTCATTACGTGAGATTATCTGTTCATGAGTATCGTTAAAATTTACTGGAGAGTGCGAAACATCCGTAGAAATACTTTTTTCTCCCTGTTCTAATATAGCGAGTCTATTCTCAAGCTCTATATTCTTTTGCTCTAGTTCCCCAACTCTAGCATCACATTTACTATTCTTATCAATAACCTGCCTCAGCTTCGCGTTCTCAACCTCAAGTTCAGCATTCTTGCCCTCGATCTCAGCAAACTTCTTCCTAAGTTCAGCTATCTCAGACAAGAGTCTTGAATTTAATTCTTTCAATGAAGAGACAGAGTCTCAAGTTTTTAACTCATCAGTTTTGTATTGTGTGTTTGCCATTTTTAAAATAAAATACAGATATATTCAAAAGTGAATTTATAAAAAAATATCATATGATAACACCATACAAAAATTAATTCTCAAAAAAAATAATCATTTAGGTTTGATTGTTTTATTAATACAATATAGCGGAGCTGATATCTAGGATATCTAAAATACATATGAGACGATCTCACGAAGTGAGGATATTTCCATATCTAAACTATCCACCCGTTATTTTTTAATTTTCTCTTGTACACGTCACTTCTTGGTTTCAGGTTCATCACATGCGGAAACCCTATCATTCAATAGTCCCACAATTATACCGATCACCTATTTTATATCTTCCCTCAGATTTTCCTGATTTCCCTTAATCGCTTTTTTCGTAAGATTTATTTGATATTCACTATTACTAGTACAAAAAATTCCTTCAAAAGTGAACATGATAAAATGCCAATCCGCACCTTAAAATAAATCTGATAATTAGCAATGCCAGAATGAAGATAATGACTGAGAGTTATCCTTTGAATCTGCTCCATAATAGAAAATTTTCACATACCAGTTGACACAATCCCATATAGATAGTCGTAATCCTTGGTCTTAAATGCTTCGTCCGCAGTTCACTTCTTATTGTTCATATGGAAGGAACTCTCGAGTTGTTTTATATTTTGAAGGTAACCAATCTTAATGTTTCGTGGTTTTCCCTCAGTGATACATAAAAGATCCTCCATCCCAGTTATAGCGTAATCAACTCTTCCAGACGCTTCTTCACCTGAAATATCCCTCTGCAATTCTATATGGATTTCTTTGTTGGTCATTCTTCTCGCAATTGATATTGATGCGTGTAATACGGATGAAATAAATTCACAACGCGTTGCTTCGTTAGCCTCTATCATTGATTTTACATTCGTTAATCATAGTATTATTTCGTTCATACATTGTTTGAGAGCTTTGTCATTGTCATCGATTTCCTTGAAAACTATATAATAAGAAAATGAATTATTGTATATCTGGAAATTTGATCGTTTTTCTCTATAGAGAAAGCGGTTTACCAAGAAAAAAATCACATACCCGGGTTGAATTATTTGATGCATATAATATCCTCGCCATTTACTTTGTATTTACGAAGAACATCTTTTAATTCGTCCAGCGTTTTATATGATGAGAAGCTTCTTAATTTTTGTTCTGTAATATCTTCGATAAAATCTGCAAGAACAGTAGCTGGTCCCACTTTAAACCCACAATCTTTGAGATCTTGTTTGCTTAACTTGAGAAAGGCAAGACCAGAAATTCTTTCATTGCGTAAGATCTTGAAGTCCGCCTCAATAAGTTTTAGATCTCATCTCCGTAAATAATCTATAAGTTCTTCAGTATCCAGGTTTTTGACTACGTCTGCCATCATGCGAGTTGACCTTTCTTCCGTCAAAGTAGAGGATGTAGAAATAGGTGAGGAAGGTGTTGAATCGTGCGAAGTCATTGTTTTTTTATAATGTAAGGCGTAATGAATCTGATTTATGCGATACGTTATGTCCTCCGGCTGAAGTGAGATAATGCAAGGAAGAGAATGAAATATTTTTTGGACGGATCAGTGTCTATTTATAGTATATAGATTACGCAACTCGTATAGATTGGCAAGTATACGACGATCTCGGAGATTGCGAAGATTTCGACTTCCTAAGACATAAGTTCCTTGATATACGCACTAATAGAGATTGACAAGCTAACCTTCCTTATTGCCTTTTTGAGATTTGTTTACGCTGGTTCTTATCGCAGAAGCATGGAAGCAATTTCAATAAAAAATAAAACGGAAAATAACGATTATCTATGTTGTACTAATTTCTATGCTGATCCCTGATTTGCGGATTTAATTCACGTGATATGCTTTTTGTCACTTATTTTTACCGGAGGCAGACACAAACTGGCTATTTTTTATGATCTATTTTCTGATAAGAAAAACCTGAAATGAGTTTAAAAGAGCCATAAGAGGGAAGGGCTTATCGTTTCTCATTAGTAGTTATATCAAAGTTCATATGTTACAATGACTTGGCATTTCCCAGATCGTCGAGATCATTACCTTTGCAGGAGAGATTGTCTAATTTAAAGGGTTTATTCTAACCAAAGAAAATGATGAAATTACTTGGGTTTTGGAATAGATTTAATGCTTCTGGACAGTATAAAATACAAGGCTTTTTTCTCCTGTGAGGTGGGTTCAATAATGTTTAAAACTACTAATTCCAAGTAATGTACCACTATTTAATGTATTGCTATTTAGTTAATATCGTAAAACACATTTATGATTACCACTATTCTGTATTTAGGAACATGAAAATGAGCAGTAATAAGAAAATCGCTGTCAAGATCAATGATTCCTCTGCTCCCAAGACCAATGATAATAACACATCTGAGAGCAATTATTCTAGCAACCTATCATTTTCCACACCGAGAACCAGACAACGAAGCAAACTGAGATAATCTTTATCTTGTAAGTTTTGTGTTATAAATACTCTATGAAGCATTCTATTTATTGAAATAATTGCCGAAGACAGACGGTGGCTAACAAAATTATATCTTTAATAAAAATTAGATAAGTAGACCTGGGAAAAAATGTCAAAAGATAATTTAGAACGTGATAAAATGAATGATGATAATGATTGGTTAAATCCTGATCAACAGGATGATATGTTGGATCAAGCGTATAATTGATTCATCTTTTTGAAACATATATTTTTTTATCTGTATGCCATCTGGTAATTTTTTAAAAAATAAAGAGAACCCACTATATATACGGGTTAATAATTTTCCGGTTTTTTAATTATTCTGATTGGATGGATCACACCGGAAATTAGTAGGAGGCTATTGGGTAACTGTCGTATACATACTGTTACAGTTATAACATAAAAATCGTTAATTCCAAAAATAGTCGAAAAACATAAAATATTTAAAAATATTCACATAATAGCAAAAACCCCTCAAATTATTTTCCCTTTTACAGTGGCTAACGTAATTATGGAATCACGTGTTCAAATTTATTAATAAAACATAGTAAAAATTGAAATTTTCTTTC